CCTCCTTCTTTTTTTTTTTTTGCTAGTCATGTTTGGTTCTATCCTAGGTCTCTGGGCTATCCACTCTTACATTCCAGGCCATCGAGGCAGTGTTGGGCATGGGTTCCCTCTTGTGGCATGGGCCTCAAGTAAAAACAGCCATTTGATTGGCCACTTCCACAAGTTCTGAGCCATCATCACCCCAGCACATCTTGCAGGCAGGACAGATTGTAGGTTAAAGGTTTTATGGTTGTGTTGGTGTTAAGGTTTCTCTTTCAGTAGCCTACAGAGTACCTTTGGGCATTAAAGAGATGAGAATAAAAAGGTGAAAGCTAATGCAGGCACCAGCTGGACTTCTCTGTGTCCATTCAGCTGTGGGGATGGTATCCTGGGCAATAGGTCTCAGCGTCAATTTGCAGAGAGCAACACTCTCTCTTAGCATCAACTTGGGTTGTTCAGAGGTCTCCATGGGACCCCATCAACCAACAACTCAACTGAATGTAAACCAGTCCCACCACTGGAAGCCTTTTTGGCTCCAAAAGATGACCAGTTCAGACTCCATATCCTCTATTACTAGGAGTCCTTGCTAGGGTCACTCTCATAGGTTCCAGGAAGTTTCCACTGCACTAAGTTTCCACATTGCCCCCTAAAAAAACCCTTATTCCAGCTCTCTCTCCCTGTACTGTCTTCATCCATTCCTCACACCATCATTTAGTCCTTCCTCTTTCTGTCCACATCTGCCCTGAGTCCATTCACAGAAGCTATTCCATTTCCCCTTCCCAGGAAGATCCATGCACCCCCTGCCCAAGCCCTTCTAGTTACTTAGCCTCTCTGGGTCTGTGGATTGTGGTGTGATTATCCTTTGCTTAACAGCTAATATCCACTTATAAGTGAGTACATATCATGTTTGTTTTTCTGGGTCTGGATTGCCTCGCTCAGGATTTTTTATTCAGTTGAGGGACATGTAGGCCTTTTCCAGTTCTGGCTGTTATGAATAAAGCCACTATCAACATAGTTGAGCAAGTGTCATTGTGATAGGATGGAGCTTCCTTTGAGTATATGCCCAAGAATGGTATAGTTTGGTCTTGAGATAGAATTCGCAGTTTCCTGAGGGACCAGTATATTGATTTTCATAGTGGCTGTATGAGTTTGCATTCCCACTCACAATGGAGGAGTGTTCCCCTTGCTTCATGGTCTCTCCATCATGAGCTGTCATTTTTGTTATCAATCTTAGCCATTTTGATAGGTGTAAGATGGAATCTCAAAATGGTTTTGATTTGCATTTCCCTGCTGGCTAAAAATGTTGAACATTTCTTTGTTTCTCAACCATTCAAGATTATTCTGTTGATAATTCTCTGCTTAGTTCTGTATCCCATTTTTAAATTGGATTATTTGGTTTGTTAATGGCTGGTTTCTTGAGTTCTTTATATAGTTTGGATATTAGCACTCTGTCAGACATAGAGTGGTGAAAATCTTTTTCCATTCTGTAGGCTGCCATTTTGTCCTGCTGATGGTGTCCTTTACCTTACAAAAACTTTTCAGTTTCATGAGGTCCTATTTGATAATTGTCGATCTTAGTGCCTGTGCTATTGGTGTTCTGTTCAGGAAGTTGTCTCTTGTGCCAATGTGTTCAAGGTTATTCTCCATATTCTTTTATAACAGGTTTTTAAAAATGTCCTTATTATTTTCTGAGTTTCTTCAATTTCTGTTGTTATGCTCCCCTTTTTGTTTCTGATTTTATTAGTTTGGATACCCTTTTTCTCTCTTTTTAGTCAGTTTGGATAAGGGTTTATCTATTTTTTTTATTTTTTTTTAAAAGGACCAACACTTTTGTTTCATTAATTTGTATTGTTCTCTTTGTTTCTATTTTATTGATTTCAGCCATCAGTTTGATTATTTCTTACTGTCTACTCCTCTTGGGTGTGCTTACTTTTTTTGTTTCAGAACTTTTAGGTGTGCTATTGAGTTACTAGTATGAGCTTTCCAATAATTTTCATGTAAGCACTTAGTTCGATGAAGATTTCCTCTTAGCACCACTTTCATTGTGCACCATATATTTGGATATGTTTTGTATTTGTTTTCACTGAATTCTAGAAAGTCTTTAATTTTTTTTAAAAATTTTTTCTTGACCCACTTTTTCATCCAATAGAGAGTTGTTCACTTTCCATGAGTTTGTAAGCTTTCTGTTGTTTACATTCAGCTTTAATCTGTGGTGGTCTGACAGGATGCAGGAAATTATTTCAACTTTATTGTATCTAATGAGATTTGTTTTGTGTCCAGGTATGTGATCAGTTTTGGAGAAAGTCCTGTGAGGTGCTGAAAAGAAGGTGTATCCTTTTTTAGTTTGGGTGAAATGTTCTGTAATATCTTTTAGTTCTAGTTGGTTTATATGTATGTTAGCTCCAGTATTTTCCCGTTTGATTTTTGTCTGGATGATCTGTCCATTAGTGAGAGTGGGGTATTGAAGTCTCCCACTCTCAGTATGTGAGGAGCAATGTGTGATTTAAGCTATAGTAGTGTTTCTTTTTGGAAACTGGGTGCCCTTTATTTGGTGCATAGGTGCTAAGAATTGAAATATCATCTCGGATTTTTCCTTTGAGAAGTATGTAGTATGCCCGACCATATTTCTTTTGATTAATTTTGGTTTTAATTCTATTTTGTTAGATATTAAAATGGCTACACGAGCTTATTTCTTAGGTTCATTTACTTGGAATATATTTTTCCAGTGCTTTATCCTGAGGTAATAACTATCCTTGTTGTTAAGGTGTGTTTCTTGAATGCAGCAGAAGGCAAGTTTTTGCATCTGTTCTTTTAGTCTGTGTCTCTTTATAGGGAAACTAGACCATTGATATTGAGAGATATCAATGAGCAATAACTGTTAATTCCTGTTATTTCATTGTTGGTGTGTGTGTGTGTGTGTGTGTGTGTGTGTGTGTGTGTGTGTGTGTACACATACATGCTTCCCTTCTTTTGGTTTTGCTGGTTGGAGAATATTTATTTCCTGTGTTTCATGTGCATAGTTAAAGTTTGCCTTCTAGCACCTTCTGTAGGGCTGTATATGTAGATAAATATTGTTTAAATTTGACTTTATCATAGACTATCTTATTATCTCCATCTGTGGTGATTGAAAATTTTGCTTGGTGTAGTAATATGGGCATCTGTGATTTCTTCGAGTCTGGAGGACATCTATCTGTTCAAGTCCTTCTTGCTTTTGGAGTCAAATGGAATTTATCAGTCAGGTGTAATTCTAATAGGCCTGCTGTCATATGTTACTTGGTCTTCTTCCCTTGAAGGTTTTTTTTAAGTACCTCATTTTCTATTTTAGTTTAATGCAGATCATTAGAATGTATCATGTGTAGATATAAAAATATATTATGGAGGGAAATTTTGGGCATACTTAAAGTTTTATTACAATAAGAATTCTCTAAGAGGTTTTTGTGCAACAATGTAGCTACAACAAATGTTACCTATTAATTGCTTTTATTTTGTTTGTATCACAGGTCCTCCAGTGTTTCCAGTGTCAGATGTCTCCTTTTTAGTGTGAGTGATGAAGTCTTGGGACATACACATATTTTGCTCTATTGAGTGGTTACTAAGTATGGCTTCACTTTTTTTTTTGGATTCCTATGTTGCACCATAAAGTTCAACCCAAATGTAAAGAACAGTCTTATTCAGGAAAATGATCATGAAGTTTGGCACTTGGATGCTTACAACAGAATGTAAATTGTTTACATTTCTTGTTCTTTCATGTTTAAAGAGAGATAAGCATGAGATCCTGCAGAACTTTGCTGAATTGGCAATGAAGGAATGTGCAATATTTTAGAGGAAGACAGTCTGATAACAGAAACTGCAAAAGAAAAATGTCAGAATAAGAGTTGTAAGTGCCAACACTCTTGAAAAATTAATGCCATTTTATACTGAACATAGTCTCACTCTATTGTTATTGTTAGGATCATCATCATTATTTGACTAGGAAATGTACTTTTTATTATGAATCTTGACTAAATTTAGAACCTGTATTTCTTTCTTTCTTCCTTTTTTTTTTTTAAATTTTATTGATTCTTTGTGGATTTCATATCATGCTTTCCAATTCCAATTATCTCCCTGTCCCCTTGCATCCACCCTCTGCCCTTGACACCTTCATCCAGAGCAGGGGATCTGGCCACCCTCTCCTCTTTTGTGCCCTACAGTAACCAGGAGAGAGGGCCCTGTACCTCATTTCAGCACAACAGTAGAGCTGGCCCTGGTGGTGTGAATCTGGGTGACCCAGATCTGAGGACCTGAGAGCAGGAGAACTGGCCCCACTCCTTGCTAAAGGCTGCATTGGATGAGCCAGTCAAAGCAGTGCCAGAGAACTTGCCTAGGTAGTGATGATGAGGGAAAGCTGGCAGACTAATCAACCTATAGCTACCAGCCAGGCCAAGAACCAGGGCTATGAGCCCACCCACGCCAACATCTATGAACTGTTGGAGCATGTGAAGGGCATGAACCTACAGATCCAAAACAGCAGGATCTCCATGAGACAGGACAGTGACAGGATATCCAAGAGGAACCCTAAGAGTTCATTATTGGCAGTGTAGCAGAAGCCAGAGGCATCAGGCCAGACCAATGACTTGTGGCAATGAACACTTGCAAATAAAGAAAAACAGGTTCTAAACTTGGTTAAGGCTGATAATAAAAAGTACATTTCCAGTCAAATAATAATATTGATAAAGATGAATGGACTAAAGGCTAAACTGTGTGACTCAATGAGTCACACTACAGCTTCTACAACAAAAATCTCCCCTTTTTTCTTTTTGTTTTGTTTTGTTTCTTTTTGTTTGTTTGTTTGTTTTCCTTGAAGCTTTTATTATTCTTTCTTTGTTCTATATGTTTAGTGTTTTGATTATTATGTAGTGTTGGTACTTTTTTTTTCCTGGTCCAATCTATTTGGTGTTCTGTATGCTTCTTATACCTTTATGTATGCTTCTTATACCTTTATAGGCATGTACTTCTTTAGGGTAGAAAAAATTTTCTTCTATGATTTTGTTGAAAATATTTTTTTGGCCTTTGAGCTGGGATTCTTCTCCTATTTCTATTATTCTTAGATTTGGTTTTTTCATAGTGTTCCAGATTTCCTGGATGTTTTGTTCTGGGAATTTTTTAGATTTAACATTTTCTTTTATAGACATATCTATTTCTTCTACTATATTTTCAATGCCTGAGAGTCTCTTTTCCATCTCTTGTACTCTCTTGGTAAAGCTTGCCTCTGTAGTTCCTGTTCACATTCCTAAATTTTTCATTTCCAAAATTCCCTCCACTTGTGTTTTATTTATTACTTCTATTTCTACTTTAATACCTTGAATAGTTTTATTCATTTCTTTCAAATGTTTTTTTCCTTGGCCCTCTTTAAGTGCTTTATTAATTCCCCCCAGTTGTTTCCTTGTGTTTCCCTGGCTTTCTATAAGGGATTTATTCATTTCTTCTTTAAGGACTTCTATCATCTTCATATAGTTGGCTTTAAGGCCTTTTTCTCCCTCCCTCCCTCCCTCCCTCCTTTCCTCTTTCTTTCTTTCTTTCCTTCCTTCCTTCTTTCTTTCTTTTTTTTTTTTTTGAGACAGGGTTTCTCTGTGTAGCTTTGTACCTTTCCCAGAACTCACTCTGTAGCCCAGGCTGGCCTCAAACTCGCAGAGATCCACCTGGCTCTGCCTCCCCAGTGCCGGGATTAAAGGCATAAAGGTCTTTTTCTTATGCTTCAGCTAAGGTTGAATATTCAGTGCCTGGCGTGGTAGGATAGCTGTGCTCTGGTGGAGACATATTGCCTTGGCTGTTATTGATTGTGTTCTTATGTTGGCTTCTAGGCATTTGGGTTTGGGGAGATTATAGGTATAAGTACTGATTTCTGAGTTTGTCTTTGTTGAGGGTGTTTTGTTCCTTGGTTTCTGTTTTCTCTTTGGATTTTCAGTGTGTGTTGCCTGTTTTACTGCCTTGCTTGGCTTGTGTGTTCTCAGGGAATGCTTGCTGGTGTTGGAGGCTAGGGGAAGGGGGAGCCTGAGGAGGGGTATTGTGTGTGGGATCCACAGGAGGCATGGGCAGGGGGTAAGGAAGCCTGCAACTGTTCTGTTACAATGCCAGGGACAACCCTGAGGATTGGATCTGGGGGAACAGAGAATAAAGAAGATCCATGAGCAGCTCACCTGATCTAGAATTTAGACATTTTCAAAATGAAAGAACAGTTGTAGAGTGTATATAAATATCCATTTCTCTTGATTGTGTGTTTTAAATTCCATTGGGTCAATTCGTTGCTCATGTTGTAGCATGAATTCCACAAAAATTAATTTTCGTGATAATGTTTCAGTGAAACAGTTTTTATTGATATATGTAATCTTATATCCCACATTGACATAAGCATATGTGCTAACCGCATTTGGTATTTCAGTTGCCTTTGTATTCTAGAACACAAGTGAAATTAAACAAAATAATTAGCCATGTTCTTGATTTTTTTTGAGTTTTGTTCTCCTTTTTATCTTGAAAATAAATATCACAAAGGTAGCAGGTCATTGAGCCAGACATCTCAGAGAACTTGTTTGTTATTGCACAGTTTGGTACATCTTCAGCGTGCAGTGTATTGAAGGATGAAAGTGGGACATATTTGAAAAGAGAAGCTATTTTCAGTCATGTGTCTGTTACAATTCTCTGTTGTAGGCAGGAAAAAAGCGTGTTAAAGATTTGTTTTAACCAGAGGATTTCGTTAAAAAGAACAGTAGTCAAAAGGACAACAGGACCATTCATATGGTGGTAGGAATCAAAGATTTCTCTTTGTCATCATTTTTCATAAAGGTACAGACACATTTTGTTGGGTATCCTAGAGTGATGGAAAGGACATGGAATTTGGGTTCAAATGTGCACACCTGGGTTTGGATTCTGGTTCTGCATCATTTGCCAGTGAGTGAATGACTAGTCAGTGTTTATACCATCCTGGGCCTTGATTTAATCACTTATCATATAGAATTAGCAATACCTGTCTTGAAGGTATTGACATACAAGACAGATTGCATTGGAAATACTTCAGATGTGTGTTCAACAGTTGGTTTGACTATTACTAAAATTTTGTATCTTTTATTTCTCCTGAAAATTAAGCCTCAGATAGCATGTCATATGTCTATTCATAATGTCTGCATGCTGCACATGTGTTCTGCCAAATTTGTTTTTAACCAAAGCAGGATCCCACAGCAGAGTTACTCCATCTTCAGAATTTTAGGAAAATAACACTGTGAAGCCCAGGAAGTTCTTCAAAGACCAGTTCTTTGCTTTTCTACTATTCAGATTTTATTTTAAAAAACCTTATATTAGTACGGATGCCATGCTTTAATATTATTAAATTAAATATTTCACCTAAGTTCACATATCATTTTTATAATTTTTATATTCTTCTTATAGCAAAATATCAGCTTAATAAAAATATTTTTCTTTTCTTCATAAATATGAAACACAAAAGGAGGGCATTAAGGTAGTTTCCACTTTTCTCTTAAAATTCCTACAGAAGCTTTTTACTCTTGCTTTTTCTCCCATTTTGAGAATGTTCTTGTTTTGATTGTTTTTATTCTCCTTTGTTGTTGTTATTTTCTCTTGGCTCATTGGGAACACTCTACCCAGCTCCTCCCTGCTCCCCCCCCCCGAAAAAAAAAAACCCACACATACACAAAGACTTATTTTTACTTATGAATGCCTGGCCTTAGCTTGGCTTATTTCTAGACAGCTTTTCTTAACTTAAATTATCTCATCTACTTTCTGCCTCTGGGCTTTTACCTTTCTGTATTCTATATCTCTTTCTTTTCTTCTTACTCTGTGGCCGGCTGTGTTGCTGGGCAGCTGGCCCCTTGTGTCCTCCTTTCCTCCTTTCCTCTTCTCACTGCTCCTTCTTCTTCCTCCTACTTATTCTCTTTCTCTCTCCTGCCAGCCCCACCTCTTTCTCTCTCCTGCCTAGCTATTGGCCATTCATCTCTTTATTAGACCAATCAGGTGTTTTAGACAGGCCAAGTAACACAGCTTTACAGAGTTAAACAAATGCAACATAAAAGATGCAACAGATCTTTGCATCAGTAAACAAATGTTCCACAGCATAAAAGAATGTAACACATCTTTAACCAATATTCCACAACACTATTGTCCCACTTGTCTGTTGTGCGTCAGTTGAGTGCTACTTGGTAGAATCATCTGTGTGTGAAGCTTTAACATGGGTTAGAATGCTTCCATTGCTGTCTGATAGGATCATTACAGCATCACTTCCCAGCGATTATTCCACATCTTCTTAATTGTCCTTAAGAATCTTCTTTCACTCTTTACCTCTTTACTCTCAAAAGGATCATCTTGCTATTGTGAATGCTTCCAGCATTCAGTTCATTCTAAGCTATAACTGTGTTTGTTGGTGTTCCGTGAACATTTACTCTTGTTGAGCAATAAAAACCTTCCCTAAGGGTGCCTCCAAGAATCTTCACCGGCTTTTGTTTCCTGACAGCTTAAGTCAAGGCTGTCCAATGACTCTGACTTAGTGAAGTGTAATGCAGAAGAATTCTGAAACAG